AGAGAGAGAGAGAGAGAGAGAGAGAGAGAGAGAGAGAGAGAGAGAGAGAGAGAGAGAGAGAGAGAGAGAGAGAGAGAGAGAGAGAGATCCACAAAAAAGCATGATGCAGCCAGACTGTTTCGTCAGACTTTCACCACTCATGAGGAGGTTGAACCCTGACAGTCTGCCCAGGAGAAAGTGGTAAGCCATTGGTCCAAAGAGTCTGTGTGTGTGTGTGTGATGCCATGTTCGCCGTACAACTCCACAAACATTGAGCTCGGACTCTGTGTGTGTGTGTGTGTGAGTGTGGTTGAAGGCCGGCAGCATGTGTGTGTGTGCGTGCGTGCGTGTGTGTGTGTGTGCGTGCGTGCGTGTGTGTGTGTGTGCGTGTGAGAAAGACACAGAGAGAGTCGAGCGCGGTGGAGGGTGATCCATGACACGGCGGGGTCCCTGGGCGCGAAGTTGGACAAAAAACGGCACCGATTGAAATGGCCCGTTGCAATGGACAAAGGTGGCGTGAGGTAACCAAAGTTGCCTGTTATCTCGGCCGTTGGGGCCGCGGTACTGGGCCAACGGCCTAGATTCAGGCACTGTCTTAAGATCTTAAGACTGAGTCAATCCAGGTCGTCAGTCCGGTAGCACCCAACGGCCCAGATCGCAGATTTGTTACATTTCTTGGACAATCTGGGCCATTAGTCCACCCGATGGCCCAGATCGCAAATTTGTTACATTTCTTCGACGATCAGGGCCGTCAGTCCGGTAGGACCACGACCGCCCCGATTTCAGATTTGTGATGCTAGCGATTTTAATAGTGTAGGGAAGAAAAGCAAAAGAAGAAAACAACAGGAGGAGGACGGGGAAGAGGAGGAGGAGAAGACAAAGAAGAAGAAGAAGAAGAAGAAGAAGAAGAAGAAGAAGAAGAAGAAGAAGAAGAAGAAGGGAGGTTCTCCCCTCCACCTCCGACTACGTCCTCACCCTCATCTCCTTCTTCAAACCAAAGCTCCAACTCACTCTCCCTCACAGTGGATCAGCGGCGTGGGTGTTAGGTGAATAGCGCTTTCCTCCTTTAGTCGGAACACCATTTTAGGCTGTAATCCTACCTGCAGGACCCGTATGTAGACCTAATCCTAGCTTCATGCAGGTAAGTACCACCATGACTGTACCTGCTAGCCTACCAGATCTGAGGGCGTTCCGGAGTTACTGGAATATCCCATACCGGGTCTCTAGCATATTCTACTTCTGCACTGGTCCGTGCTAGAATTTCCCCCAAGTCCACGCGTCATCCAAATTCCATCCTACCCCTGTCCGTCCTACTCCTCTTGGGGCAACAAACACAGCATGAGAACAGAGCTAACACACAGAAACAGACTCAGACTCAGACTCAGGAAAGGCCAAAAGGCAGCATTGTCTGAGACAAATGCAGAAATGTCAGGCAGAAATGTTAGATTGCAGCTGTGCACGTCATTGCACTCCTACTGCTCAGATGTGAGGTCGCTTCCAGTTGAAGAGAACCTAGAGGTCGAAACAAAAAGCATCACAAGCACAAAAGACTAACAAAGGAAGTGAACACTCGTGTCCACTGAATGTATGAGGTGCAGGATTGACAACTGACGGTATTTAGACATTCAAAACACGAGGAGCAGTTATGTGCCAATCAGACCAAGAGATCCAAATGTAGGTTACTAGGTAATCACACTTGTGCTGCTTACCATTATGTTTCTAAACACAATCCACTTTAAAGCCACTATCGATAGGTTGAGGAACATGGATGGTCTGCTCAGAAAATCATCAGAAGTCGTAAGGATAAAGTTTGGATTCTTGGAAGCATGAAACACAGGTATGTATGCAGATGTGGAGGCACATCAATGATGTATGAGGGTCCGAACACTGGGTGTCTACGCATATCTAGAGGGACATGAACAACATATGAGGGTCCGAATTCATCCTGTCCTATGACCTTGATAATAGCCATGGTCTATAGTAGAGTGGCAAGTGCTTATGTAACACTCCCTCTTCATCGGAAAACTCAGACATTACAACCCACACATAATCTCCTTCCTTGAGTTAGATGATATATGGTGCTTGTTTTCATACCTGACCATGATATCTTGTTGTCTGTGGATGGCTGTGATCGCTAGGGCAAGCAGCGTTCAGTATTTGACTCGTACTCAGGCATACCAATGGTCAAATGGGGGTGCCAATCAGCTGGAAAGGACTCCACACCCTCGCTCCTTGTGACCGCAGAAGCCTACGTCAAGGCATACCAAGGGTCAAGATAGGATCCATCCGACTGTTGCCAGTTTGCTCAAAGAGTATGCAGACATAGCTGAAGCACCCTCATGGGTAGTACCAATGGCTATTCAGCACCACATAGAGATAGAGCCTAGCAATAAGACGCCTAAGGGACCAGTCTACAGAATGTCTCCCAAAGGGTTAGAGGAGCTACGAAAACAGTTAAATACTCCTAAGGGGATGGATTAGACCCAGTTCATCTCCCTTTGGCGCACCTGTTCTATTCGTCCCCAAGAAAGAGGGAGAATTGAGAATGTGCATTCACTACATGAGCCTAAATGCAATAATCGTCCAGAATGCAGAACCATTGCCCTGTATACACAATTTGTTAGATCGGGTGCAAGGCTGCAAGTACTTCACTAAGATAGACTTGAAGTCAAGGTACCATCAGATAGAGGAACACCCTGATGATCAGTACAAGGCAGCATTCCGGACTAGATATGGGCATTATGAGTTCATAGTCATGGCCTTTGGACTAACCAATGCATCAGCCACAATACAGCTCTCCATGAACGACTTGTTTAGACCGTGGTTAGATAGATTCATCGTAGTATATTTAGACGATATCTTACTTTTTAGTAAGTCCCTCCAGGAACATGAGGGCCATCTAAGGCAGATCTTCGAGAAACTGACAGAAGCTAACTTCAAGATCAATGCGAAAAAGTGTGACTCGGCCAAGACCGAAGTCTTGTACTTCGGCCACGTGTTAGATGGGGATGGCATCAAACCAGAGGACGGCAAGATAGCAGCAATTGGAGACTGGCCAGTTCCTCGCACTCTGATTGAGTTGCGATCAT